GCTGCAAGACCTAGTTTTAGGTAGCATCTAGCTGAAAAAAAAAAAAAAAAAAAAAAATTATCAGAAGCCAACATGCAAGAATACACCCCAAGGGACTGCTCTGAGGTGTAGTGGCTGCTCCCAGCTCCTCTACCCTTGGGGAGCAGCCGTGCTCTTGCTCCTCTCTGACAGCTCTTGCTGTTTACGGTGATGTGTAAAACAGTAAACTTCTGAAAGTTGAATCTCTTTTTTCTCTTTTCTATCATTCCCTTCTTCCTCTCCACTTTCTAGAGATAATCAGTTCAAAAAAAAAAAAAAAAAAAAAACCAACAACAGAACCCCAGATCTATTTGATCTCAGTTTTGCCTAACTCAAGCCCGAATAGCAAGGTTCTGCAAAATCAGAATAAAGTTTTATTCAGAGACAAATTTCTTTAAGCTTTCTCTTTCAGAGCGCTTTCCAAAACCACAGATGTACAGTCATGCCACACAAGCAATAGTATTGTAGTCACCTATATCAAAATACAACCTGTCCTGAGGTTAACTTCTGATGTGGTCTACTACAGGTATGATACCAACTGATGAATTCTAACACGTCATCTCCCATGTCTAAGTATATCCTGCATCTAATTGTATGAAAATGTCTACCCTTAAGGCCAGAGGAAAATAATATTAAGTTTAAATTTCATTCTTTTTGATCAGAGACTGCAAATGCTTTGGATCAGGATTGAGTTGTTACACAATGGGTGGACAGTGTCCAGATCTCTCAATCTCATTATACATTTCTGTAACGCAAATGATCATTAATATTACTTCAGTGTAAAAATTGCATCTTCCTGAATGATTTAGCTTTTCAGAAACAGACAAGAACACGCTAGTGTATGTTTTTCTATGTTTGAAAGCATGCAATTAGATGCATATCTTACAAACATAAACAAACACCTCCCATCCAACCTCCATGTTTCTAAAAAAACCCAGGTTTGTTTAGACAAGGAGTTGATAATCCAGTTTGAACACAGGTATCTGAATGATGTGACAGCTTCTTCATAATGCTAAGCTTATGGTACATTAAACTTTAAAGCAAGATAAACTCCTGCTTTCATTTTATCAAACATCTTCCCAGACAGCAAAAAGAAAGACACAAAGCAATGTTTGCAGCTAAAGCCAAGCATGGGATACCCAACTCAGCGTATGTTTGAAATGAAAATGAACAATATGTTGCATAGATATACTACTGTATTTTTCAATAGAGAATATCACTGGGATTTGTAAATGTTGACCTCATTCCTCCCTTAAGTGTTTGTTTTTATTTCATGCCTGAAGGAAAACCCTGAGATTCACAGAGATGAAGTGAATAGAGACAGCAGTACTTGCAACTGTGAAAGAAAGTGCTCTTCAAAGAAACTGCTCTGATAATCATTTGGCTAGTAGGAATCACAGGGGGTGGAAGGCACATGGACAAGAGATTTTTTTTAAGAGTACTCAATGCTGTGCCACTGGTATTACTGACCTTCACATATTTAGCCATATCATGCCTTTTTGTGGTCAGTAAAGCAGTAATTTCATCGTCTATCACAACAGTAATGAGGTAGCAAGGGCCATTGAAGAATCCATGATAAGAGGTCGCAAGAAGAGATTTTAAGCTACTGAGAGCAAGTAGAAAGGATGGCGAGGGTAGCAGATGGCTTAACCCTTCAGGAATGGGGACCAAAAGCAGCCTTGAGCACACTGAATCATAGAATAGTTTGGGTTGGAAGGGACCTTTAAAGGTTATCTAGTCCAGCCCTTCCTGCAATGAACATTAACATTAGTAACAGATTACCAAAAACGCAACCTCAGGCTTGTTCATTTCAAATCTAAAGAGACTATGTACACAAAAGCCTCTCTGTTCTTTCTACTACCAACATTAAACCAACTACCTTAAAAAGCGTCTCCTTATAGCTGACTTAAGGTCATGCGGAAGATAAACGTTGAGACATTATAGGCGCTGAATTTTCCATTGACTTAAAATTGACACGAACTACAAGCACCACCTTCATATTACACTGATGACAACACATGAGAAGTCAGAGGTGTGCTATTAGAGCATTTGTTATGAACAGCTAGTGATGATCTTTCATTGTACCATAAATAACAGTCTAAAAAAAATTACCAAACCATCAAAGTTTCCTCCTAAAACCTATATCTTCTCTAGAAGTTTGTTTTTATGCAGCTATAGGCTCTCCTCTCTTTCCCAATCAACCCTTCCTTCTCTCCCTGCTTCTTATGACCTCACCTTATCCAAAAATGTGAAGAGATTGGTCTTATCACAACTGAGCAAGATACCACCTGCCAGCTGAACTGAGATAAATCACAGCTGGCCTTACAATACACACACTAACAGCAAGTGAGGCTGAGCTGACAGGCAGCAGCTCAAGGCTGTCATTTAAACCATGTAGTAACCCCATCCACAAAAATCACGCTAAGGAAATAGTTCAATAACACAACAGTTGCCCTCATCATGTTACTATTCCAGTGTGCGCTAGATCTATTGACTCTCTTCTTTACCTGCAACTGCCCTCTGTTTAGCCTGTAAGTCTTTTACAGCCAACAAAGTGGACAAAACTGCCTATTCTTTGTACTCACACAACAGTTGACACAATATGACCCTGATCAATCAAAAGCTCCTACCATAACAAAATTTACAACAGCAAATATTCATTCCTCCCTTCCCCTAAAACTGCCCTTCTGAAAAGACACAACGCTGGCAGAAATACTAGAAAAAGAAAAATTGAGAAGTTATTAAAAATGCGAATAAGGCTTAGAATGAAAATGACAAAGGAACTTGAAGAGTTATTACTTTATTATTACTCTTGCCATACATAACACTTGTGTTTTCTGACTCCTAGAAGAGCCAGACAATTGTGCATGCAACATGATTGTAATAAAAACATTCTCTAGCATTAGGGACCTGCATTTCTATTAGCAACCCTTTCTATACTCTTTAAATTATTCCTTGAACCCGAGGTTTCAGCCATGAATGAAGCAAGCTATGAGCACGCACTGGTTTTTACTCGCTTAAATAGACATGCGGTATCAAAAACTTTATAAAAAACGGACTCTCAAATGAATAGGTTGACAGGTTTGAACAAAAACCACCCCACTTGCAGATGTGCTTCTTAACCTTACAGGTTCAGTCACTGCATTTTACAGAAATAAATGGATCTGAATAGCTTAGCCAGCAGGCAAACCTACCTGTGTTGCCCAGCATATTTCATTGCAAGTTTCAGAAACACCAGCTTCTCATTGAAAGAGTGACCTATAGACACCTGTATTTAATAAGCTACTTGAAAATCAACCTGTATCTGTAGATCAGCAATATTGTTTAGTAATAACCATTGGCAGGTAAGAGTATAAAACACTTTCCCATATAAAGATCCAACTTCCTTTACTTCATGCCTTCACATAACTCACCTTCAGACTGGAAAGGAGAAACACTGAATGGTGCATCTCTACCATAAGGCAATTTCCCACCTCACTCCCAAACTGGACTTTTTGAAATATACATGGTAGGCACTCAATTCAGCAGCTGACTGTTCACACCCAGAAGCCTCATTTAACTTTGACTCATCTGCAATTAGAGCTAGGTTTTTTTTATGACAAGACCAAATTCTGCACTAAACCGCCAGGTTTACTTCAAGGGAAGGAATAACCTTCCTTAAATTGAACCAGATGATGAGGCCCTGGAGAAGCTTGTACCAGAAAGTACCCTACAAAGTACCCTAAAGGGTTTACATGGAGCAGTTCTGTGTCCTTGGAGACCTCAGCACATCTTGACATGCACTACATGGAAGCATCAGTCTCTGTCAGCAGTCTCACAGGTGACCAGATCTCATGAGCGGATCTGCTGCATTTCTAAACTGTGGATGTTCCTCTGCCCTCCCTCTCATCCCCTTAAGCTTACAAATATCCAAAGGTCAGCAGCTAAACAGCATGGTTTTACCGAAAGATCTAGTTTGGCATTTCTTTTTCCTCAAAAAAGTTCAAAGGAAGTAGGACTTGGACCTTGTGATGATTTGTGCAGACCTTATTAAGAAAGTAGGCTCACCCACCTATTTGATATGGCAATGCACATCAAATATGGCCTTGACTGAAAAAAAAAAGGTCTTTTTAAGTCTCTCTAGATCCTCCCTCGACACACAAGGAAGTTGAACAAAGCTCAACAGGGTCAAAGAATGAAGAAACGTGCAGAAATGATCCATCATTTACACTGTTAAAATAATTGTGCTAAACTCATGAAATCACCATTCTCTTCTAGATTAGATTTGGGGTTTTGTCAGCGGTTCTCTTTCTACTGCTGTCCCTGAAACATTTTCTTGAACACACAGAAAAAACATTGGTTGACTGGAAAGCAGGATTTGAAGAGGTATTTGAGTAAAAACAGAAAAGCACTCCCAGTTCAGCTAATTTAATTTCTGAAATAAATTATCTGGACAGGGTGAGGTTTTTTTAATTTCAGCACAGCTCACTGCAATGCCTACTGTGCTTACCAGTAGGGCTGCTGTTATTCTGATTTGTATCCACTACTCAGTGTGGAAAGAACAGGAGAGGAAATTCAAGCCGCAGTGAAAGTGTCTGCACACTTAAGCTAAGAAACCTGGCAAGGGGCAAGTGTGCAGCATAATACAGAGAAGAGGCACAACAAGACCCTGCAACAAGTACTCTGTTTCTTTCTCACCAGCACTTATGTTCCTGCTGCCTACAGAAATTAATAAGAAACCAACAACAATAAATTCTTGATTTGGAAGACAATTTTTGTTAGTAGTTTGTTGGTAAAGGACTTAGAGAATTCTTCCCTTGCAGTATTTTCTCCTAAAAAGGATCATGAGTTTTGTGAATATTTATTTCAACCTCTACATCCAAACCAACTCCCCCTTCATGTCCCTTCTAGCCAATTATCTTCCAGTTTCACCTTACGAATAAAAGGCTCTATAGATGTTGGGGGAGCTTCAGCAGGCTTCGTGCATATGCAACTCCACTTACCAATACAGCAGGACCAGGAAGACCACCAGCAAAGCCAGGGTGACTGTTGTACTATTCATTTCTGTGGAGACAAATGCCAGGAGATCTACAGGCTCCATTTTCCTCCACTGCAGCTCCAGCCTTGAGTGGTGCGAGTGTGTGTGCAGGGGAAGGTTTCCTCAAGAGCTGATAAAGCCTTCCACAGCTATATGAATGACATCTGCAACAAAACAGGAACCGAGACCAAAAACACATCAAGTCAAGTACAGACTGCAAACCCTTCCTGTTCTCATCGACTGCGCGCTCTGAGAGAGAATTTGAAGGTTCCCTGAATGGTAGGATGTAGCAATTCCCCCCCTCCTGCTGTTGACTTTCATACCAGTAAATATTTACATACGCACTGCTTGAGACATCAGTACTGTCAAATAGGTTTTTAGACGTCAAGTATGGGAAATGGGAAAGTGGGGAGGAAAAGAGGGGGAGAGAGCTCGACCACAGTACAGGTCGTGGAAGTATATAAAGACCCTTTGGTGATACTCCTGGCATACAAACAGTGGCAGTCTCTGAAGTAACAAAAATGAGCATTTCTGCAACATGAAACTTCATTAGCACTTAACCTTCTAAACGTACTATGCTTTAAAAGAATGGAAGAAAGTAAACTTTAAATTATCACAACTAAATGGAAGAATCGGGGGAAAACTCTTATAAGGTAACTGCACATATAGAAAGAAAAAAAGAATAAGCAGAAAAACCCAACTGTAGTACCAGGGTCCATAAGCCACCATCTGTCACACTGGTTAGTCCACACAGAGCTGTTCAACTGTATCATCTCAGGTTCGTGAGTACTACAGCAAATTTTCCTGCCTCAATGCAGTGCCAGGTACCATTAACCAGCCTCTCTGGGGATACTCTGGCTACCCCTGTGTGTACTTCTATTATCAGGGTTAACATCTACTGTCTCTGCAGCGTGGCACAGTCAAGCTGTCACACTACACTACCTTGAACAACCTGCACATGAGCAGTCAAGCTTTGACTGCAGTTCAGGAAATGGTTTGTCCATAGTTTATGGTTTCCTCAGCTTTTTTCTGTATTGTCCTGCCTGCAAACCTCAATCCTGTTTCAAGCATCTGATCCAGTCCAATAAGAAAGGCCAACTGAAAGCTGACCCTGAAGCACTTACATGAAAGAAGACTATCAACCTGTTACACTCAAAATTACTGAACGCCATTACCAACAATACCTTCAGGATTACAACATCAGCAGCAGCAGCTTGCAAATGAACACTCTTGTCCATGGCTGTCCAGTATCATTTTTTACTTATGAAACTAGAAATACTCATATATGTACTTCAGCCTTCCCACCTACTCCATACAGCCTATTTGAAAGTTAAGGAAATCAAAACTACCCAAAAAACTAGGTTTGTGAATTGTATGGTAACCTTCAGAAACAGAAATTCTGCAACATCTGATTCCTGTAACACACCAGATGAAGAGTGGTTTCTTCTCATACAACCCCAAGATAATAGCTTAGATTTAATGTGCAAGACCTCTCCAATATCACTGTATTACATTTCCTGCTTTTATCAGAGAAGTTAATAATATAGGTATCAAAAAAGTAAAGTCTCTAACACAATGGAGTTTAATTTTAAGAAGATTTGGCTCTACTCTAACTGAATCACTGCTATTTTGGTTCTCCGTGCTTCACAACTGCATTAATTCCCTTCCAGCCCCAGATCTGTGCAGAATAAGTAAAAGGTGTTAACCAGCTCATCAGCTCCACAGAACAGCACAGCAGTTCACAGGAAACCTTGCTTATTGTATTAACAATACTATTGCTATTCTGGGTCAATAACAGCTCTGCCAGTTTGCTGCTGCTGCCAAGTTCTTCAGGAACAACTGCAACAAGATTCAAGACCAGTGATGCAAGGACTTAATCAGTGGGCACAAGCAAACCCCTACCAGTAACTGATCCCATGGGACTTTAAGCAAAAAAAAAAAAAAAAAAA